GTAACTTATGACAAATCTATAATAATTTATGAATTATGAAGGGTTCAGGAGGGAGGGGGAGGGGAGAGGGAGGAAGGAAGTGAGCAAACGATATTGAGGGCTAAAGTAGAGGGCAAATGTTTTGAGATTGATGAGGGCAACAGGTGTACATAAATGCTTGACTCAATGGGTGTATGTATGGACTGCTAAGAAATGTACGAGCCCTAGGTAAAATAATTTAAAAAAAATAATGAGGGTTACAAATGTACAAATGTTCTTTATACAATTGATGTATGTATGGATTGTGATGAGTTGTATGAGCCCCCAATTAAAAATAAATAAATAAATAAATGATTTATTAAAAGAAAAAAAAAGATAGTGGAATGATTTCACAAATACTCTGAAGCCCCTTTGTATAATGTTACAGATTAGCTCAAATCCCCTTTAATCACTTCTCTCAATGCCAGAGGTGAATTTGATAATGTTTTTCTCCAATCTATTTAACACCCACAAAACAAGTGCTCAGTACACACAGACAACACATTTCAAGCCCTCTGCTGCTTTTTAATTTACATGCCCCCACACACTCAAACTGCCACTGAGTCCATTCACACTCATAGTGACCCTATAGATCAGCATAGAACTGCCCTTTGGGGTTTCTGAGGTTCCCTTCCTTGGACGGAGTCTGGGTAGATTATGTCTTAGAGTGCTAACCGCAAGGCAGCAGCTGCTCCAGAGGGGAGAGATGTGGCTCTCCCATAAAGATTTACAGTCTCAGAAACCCACAGGAGCAGTTCTGTTCTCTTCTGCAGTGTCACTGTGAGTCAGAGTCAATGGCAGTGAGTTAATGAACTCTCTAACAGAAGCAGAAAGTCTCATCTTTCTCCCCGGACCCATAATACATAGTGTTAGGTATATTGTGTGTTGCATACATACCAACACTTTGAATTGTGCACAGTGATCTATGAGAAGCATGATAGATAGGAATCTCCAGGTATACAGTATCACAAAGCTGGTAAGAGTTTGGGTTCTGGAGCCAAGCTGCCTGGGTTTAGATTCTGGCTTATTAGAATGATTAAAACTTTTCCTAGTTTTAATTCCAGATGCTCTATAAATGTTAGCATGCTTGCATTATTATTTTGATCCGTTTCTATGCTTTAACTGCTGTTTGTTATTCCTTTATATGGGTGGATCATCTCCATTTCCCTCATGGAAACATTTGAGTTATTTCTAGTTTTTCACAATTACACTGATGCAGTGAACATGCCGTCTTATTTACAGCTGGGAGAGTTTCTTTCGGCAGATACACTGGGTTCAGTCATATTGTGTTTGGATGGGTGAATAATGGACTTGGAACAAATTCCATTTGTGAGAAGTGGGCCTGGCCATGAGTGCTTAAGTCTCCCAGGTAATTATCACTTATACCCAGGATCTCAGTCGTTAGTTAGAACATGCATATACCTGGAAGGCAACTATCTGACTCAAAAGCTTTGTGCATTCGAAATGATAGAAGAGGGAAGTGTACTTATTTATGCATACCTTGTAACAATGAGTTGCTAATATCATTGTACTTTGTTACTTTAAGCTGCATTTTACATAATGAGACTTGGCATCTTTTTATTTTCCTAAGTTTTTCTGTGAGCTATCTTAAATGGTTTTTATTTTAAATTAATATGACTAAGATTTTCCTCCTCTCCCCTCCCCCCAACTCCCCTCTCCATCTTATTAAATGCTACAAGCCATATTACTGTGTGATGCCCAGGGAAGAAATCTTTAGGGTCTCTCTGTTTAGTCAAGGGAGAAAACTGGTCAGCAGCCTTCTGGAGTTATTGTATATTATCAAACATTGCAATATTACTGAGACAATGATAGTACTATAAATATTATAAAGGCGATAGACCTTAACTGTTCAATAAAGTAGCCACTAACCACATATGACTGCTAAGTTCTGGACGGTGACCAGCCCTAATAGGTACTGTAGTATCAAATGCAGACTAGATTTCAATGATTTAGTATAAAAATAAATGAAAAGGGATGAACAACAGAAAAGTGTGTGATGGGAGACAGCAGTTAGTGTAAGACATGAAAAAATAATCATTTATAAATTATCCAGGGTTCATGAAGAAGGGAGGGGAAAAATGAGGGGCTGATATCAAGGGCTCTAGTAGAAAGAAAATGTTTTGAAAATGA